TCTTGCCTGTCCGTGCAGATGCGTGGTCCCACGGTGCCTGGTAATCGAAATGGTACCACACTCCGCAACAACGGCTCGCATCATCGGGTGCAGAAGAAGCGCCGCACAGAGGCGGCAGTGGGGGCGGCGGTGTAGCGGCGGCCACTCCTGCGCATCGGAGGCAACAATTCAGCGTTCGCTGAAGCGCAGACACCTGCTAGGGAGGCTCCTGCAGAGCTGGCGGCTCAGCAAGCATTCCAGGCTTCAAGTATGTGGCGTTGTCAGGGCGCCTGCTCACTTCACATCACCCAGTACGCACCTGGTAACATTTTGGGAAGCGTGCACGCAAGGAGAGAGGGTGAAAGAGGCTGGGCCAACCATCACCCCTTGCTGGGACGCTCAGGTGCGCGCCATTGGCGCTGGTGGCACCATAAAGGCACGAGGAAATGTATGTAGGCCACGGGAGAGGGCGGGAGGGATGTGGAAGAGGCGAGCACAGGGCTCCGCAATTGCCAATTGCTTGTGTGAGCCCCTTGGGCGCCCCACAGAGCGTCGAATGAACCCATTGTGAGTGCTGGGGGGTGGGGTATGAGAGCCGCAAGCGGGCATGCATGCATCTGGCCACCTGGGCCTTACTGAGGCCAGGGTGGAAGGGGCCGTGGTGCGGATGGGCCAGTATTGGTTCTCCCCATCCGCCAGCAAGCTCAATTTCATTCCTTTGTGGCTGGCATTGCATCGCACGGCAAGGGGAGACTTGCAGAGCCGCGGTTCTCGCCTTGGGACTGGCTATGCTGCGGCACACCGCTGTCAGCAGGGCCGCGCTTGCATCTCTGACCAGAACGCAAGGTGAGGGCTCGATCAGCAGCGCTGGGCGGGGGGTTGGGTGGCCGGGCTGGGAAGCCAGTTTCTCTCTGCGCCTCTCGCTCCGGGGCTGTGGGTCGGCTCAACACACGCGACCGACCGAACTGGACCACGCCGCCTTGCACCGCTCTGCTGCAGGCGGCGTGGTCCAGGCGGCGGCGCCCAGCCCCCTCCGGCAGCACGTGCGGCGGCGGTGCTCCCCCAAAGCGCTGCCTGCAACAGCTGCCGAGAGCACCCCCCTGCCCAGCGAGCGCCCTGCGCCAGGGCTGTACCTCGGCGTGCCCGAAGCAGCAGCAGGCGGTCGCCCTAGCATGCGCCCCTGGAGCGGCGGCGGCGGCAGCCCAGCAACGCTCTCGCTGCCGTCCCTGGCCGCCCCGCTGCTGGCGTCAGCCGCAGTGCTGGCCGGCCTGCCGGCGCCCGCTGCGGCGCTGAGCCTGCAAGGCGCGGTGGGCGGGCTGGAGGAGCTGATCCAGTCGGCAGGCCTGCTGGGCCCCGTCATCTTTGTCGCCGCCTACGTGGCTGCCACCGTGCTGCTCGTGCCGGGCTCCCTCCTCACCCTTGCCGCCGGCTTTTTGTTCGGCCCCGTGCTGGGCACGGCGGTGGTATCTGTGGCTTCCACGGCGGGCGCCTCTGCCGCGTTCCTGGTGGGGCGATATCTCGCACGCCCCGCGGTGGAGCGGCGCATCGAGGGCAACACCAAGTTTGCCGCTGTGGATGCCGCCATCGGGCGCCAGGGCCCCAAGATCGTCTTCCTGCTGCGCCTGTCCCCCCTCTTCCCCTTCACCCTCCTCAACTACGCCCTGTCGCTCACCAAGGTCGAGTTTGGGCCGTACGTGCTGGCCTCCTGGGCCGGCATGCTGCCCGGCACCGTCGCCTACGTGGCGCTGGGCGGCGCGGGCAAGGCGGCCGCCGAGACGGCCGCCGGCGGCGGCGCGGGGCCCGTCCAGCTGGCGCTGTACGCGCTCGGGGCGGGCGCCACGCTGTGGGTGGCTGCCCTCATCTCCAAGGCCGCATCCAAGGCACTGGAGGAGGCATCTGCCTCCGAGGAGGGCGCCGCCGCCGCCGAGCCGCTGCGGTCGGCGGACGAGTGAGCGCCCAAAGCGCCGCGACCGGCCGCGCCCGTCCTGGCCTCGGTTTTGCCAGTTCTGTCATCCAATTTTGAACAAATTTTGTCTATTTCAGAAAGGACTCCACATTTTTCCGCCATTGCTGTAACACCATGCCGGCCTGCGGCCAGACTCTGCTCTCCAGGCTGCAGCTCCTGGCTCTCGGGCCGACGAGGGCATGCTGATGCTGATGCTGCCGCGGCCCCACTGCTGGCTTGGCTGCCACGCATGCCATCAATGCCTTCCTGCCTGCCTGCCTGCCTGCCTGCCTGCCTGCCTGCCTGCCTGCTGAGCCGCAGGCGCCCGCCGCAGGCTAGCAGCAGCCGGCAGCAGCCCGCGCCGAGCGGCGGCGGCAGCAGCATCAGCCAGCGGCGACGCGGCGGCGGCAGCAGCTGCTGAGATGAGCGTGGCGCACGCCGACCAGCCGGGCTGGTACCGGCATGGCATGATTAGCCTGAGGTGAGCTGGGCGCCTCGCCGTTCAGCAGGGCAGCGAGCATGCAGCATGCGCTCGCCTCGCTCCTGGCTTTTTGTGGCCGTGTCGGCGTGCCTGCGGTGTGTGCGCCCACCACCATTCATTTACGTAACTGCCCACCTCCCCGCCCGCTTCCCCAACAAGCCGCCCGCCAACAAACCAGCCCGCTCCCACATCCCCACCCTGCAGCCAGGGCGTGACGATGGCCGACACGCTGCAGCGGCTGGGCGCGGGGCTGGAGCTGGCGCCCCTGGAGCGCTCCGCCTTTGTGAAGCCGCTGAGCATCCTGTACCAGCTGGACGGTGAGCGCGGCTGAAGGTGGCTAGCCGCTGGTTTGTTTGGCAGCTGGGCTTCTAGGGATGGCGGTGGTGGTGGTGGGGCTGGCGGCTGGGTCATTCAGGTCACCTCAAGATGCATCAGGCCTGGCAGAGTCTGCGATGCTCCGCTGCTGAGGGGCCCGCGCACGCCACCGCGTGCCCTGGCCCTGCCGCATCTCCATCCAGTCCCCGCCTCACAGAACCCCGGCCGCCCCTGCTGCCGCCGCAGGCAAGCCGCGGCGGTGGGACATGGTGGAGTCGCATCCGTCAGTAGCGGTACTGCTGTACCACCGCCAGAGACAGGCCGTCATCCTGGTGCGCCAGTTCCGACCCGCGGTCTACGTGTCGGCCATGCGGGCGGCGCAGGCGGCGGGGCAGACCAAGCCGGCGCTGTCGGGTGCGCGGGAGGCCGCCGGCGGGCGCCGCGGCCCTGCCTGGGGCTGCGGTGCGGTTGGGATGGGGTGTGGGCCCGCCTGCCGGCGCGCTGCCGGCAGCGGCGGGCCTGGGTGGCCCGCTGCCACCCCCGCCACACCATCCAAGCGCCTCCTTGCTTCCCTCACCCTTGCTTTCCTCCCATGCTTTCCTCCCCCGCGTGCTTTCCTCCCAGCAGCCGGCTTCACTTACGAGCTGTGTGCGGGCATCATCGACAAGCCGGGCCTGGACCTGAAGCAGATCACGCGGGAGGAGGTGCGCGCTGCGCTGCGCTGCGCTGCACTGCACTGTTGGTTGTGTGTGGCTGCGTCGGTGGCGGATGTGGGTGTGTGGGTGTGTGGGTGTGTAGGTGTGTAGGTGTGTGGGTGTGTAGGTGTGTGGGTGTGTGGGTGTGTGGGTGTGTGGGTGTGTGGGTGTGTGGGTGTGTGGGTGTGTGGGTGTTGTTGAGGGCAGGAGCTGCCGCGGCGCTGCGATATGCTATGCTGTGCCGTGCTGTGCCGTGCAGTTCTGCAGTGCTATGCCGCGCCGCACCATGCCCCCTCCCGAGCGCCTGCTTGCCTGCGTCCCTGCCGCAGATTTTGGAGGAGTGCGGGTTTGATGTGCCCCTCGCCTCCATCCACCTCGTCACAAGCTACCTGTCGGGTAGGGAGGCGGGTGCGGCGCATGGACTCCTGCCGAGCGCGCAGCCAAGCTTGAGCAGGCCAGCAGGCCATACAGCAGCTGAGCCTCGCTGCGTCTCTGCAGCATGCTGCTGCGCCCTGTGTGCCCCTCCTGGCTTGCCAACCGTCGGCCAACCCGGCCTGCTGCGCCCCGCTGTGCAGCCATCGGCATCAGCGGCAGCCGGCAGACCATCTTTGCCGCACAGGTGGATGACAGCATGGCGGTGCAGGAGGGAGGCGGCGGCCTGAAGGACCACGGAGAGGCGATAGAGGTGGGTGCGCTGCCGCAGCACAGGCAAGGAGCCGGCATTCGGCCTCTCACCGCCGTGCACCACGGCGGCATCCCCCCCTGCCGTGCACCTTCGGTGGCTGCTGCTCAGGGCCCTGCGCGCCCCGCGGCGCCTGCTGCGCGCTTCGCAGGTGCTGGCGCTACCTGTGGCCAGCATCGAGGGCTTCCTGGTTGATGAAGAGCTGGGGAAGAGCGCGGGCCTGCTGGTGGGTGTCGCTGCCTGCTGCTGCTGGCGGCGCTGCCTGTGCAGCTGAGCAAGATCCGAGCAGCGCAGCTGCCCCCGTCTTGCCAGGCCTGGCGCTGGTGATGCCCGCAAGTTCCGGTGCTCACGAGCAGCCTCCCCTCTCCTCTGCTGCCTGCAGTTCTCGCTCATGTGGCTGCAGGAGCGCCTGAAGGCGCACAGCGGCCAGCTGTTCCCGACCGGGGCCTGACCGGCAGGAGCTCCCGCAATCAGAGGCGTTGGCGATCCACCAGGCAGCGGCAGATGGGGAGCGCTCCGCCGGCGGCAGCAGCAGCGGGGAGGCGAGCTGGCTGGCACGCCCCGCCCTGTATGCACCCGTCCTCCCGACGCAGCCGCCACCCGGCGTGCTGCCTGGCCCTTGCTGCCCAGCTCTACCCCTGGGTGGGCTGAGCGGCCTGTACGGCGCTACACCAGGGCAGTTACAACAAGCAAGTCAAGCGCTTGCACTTGTAAAGTAAGAGGTAAAGTACGGGTTCGCCAACAGGGCACAAGCGCTGGCGCTCGTGGCAGTGCGGCGCCGGCAAGAGGCCTAGTTCCCTGGAATCCCAGTGGGTCTCTCAGTTGGCTGGTGTTTTGAGGGAAAAAACTCCATCGCCAGGTGCGGCATGAAAAAGGGGTAGGGGCTGTGTGTCTGTGCGTGGTAATGGCGGTGCGGGGTGTGGAAGAGCTGAGCTGCAGATGGGGAGGTAGCAAGCTGTAGGCTTGAGGGGAGTAGAGGGAAAGAGACATACTGGCGAGGGGTAGGTGTGGTGGTGGCCGCAGCAGGCTGTGTTGGAAGGAATTCAAGGCGCGGGCATGTGCCTGCGCAGAAATACGTCGGTGAAGAGAGAGAAATCAAAAGGAGGGTACTGGGGTCGGTTGTAGTATACCAGTACGTCTTAGTGCAAGTGGGGGGCTTTGGGTAGACAGAGTTGTGGGGAAAAGGAGAGAGCACAAGCGGGCGCCCTACAGGTGGCGCCAACTTTTGATCGGCTTCTTTGGAGGAAACGCGCAAGTTACTGGTGCGGCCAGGTGCCGTGCGCGGCGCTCACCACCAGCGCAGCGAGGCGGGCAGCTGCTGGGCCGCCTGCACCACCCAGTCTGGCTGCTCCGCCTCTGGCTGCGGCTGCTGGGCCTGCGGCTGCTGGGGCTGCTGGGGCGCCACCAGCGCTTGCTGCGCCGCCGAGCACCAGCGCTGCTGCTGCGACTGCAGCATGGCCAGCTGGCGCTGGTGGCTGGCAGCCCTCAGCAGCAGCTCCTGCTCCAGAAGCTGCGCGTCGCCCGAGTGCAGGCGAGGCGCCTGCTGGTCCGCAGGCTGCGCCGGCGACGGCGGCAGCGGCTGGGAGCCGAGGCATGCCCGCAGGGCCGACGCCTCCTTCTGCTGCAGCTCTGCCGCCAGCTGCTCCAGCCGCGGCCGCTTCTGCGGCCTGTCCCCCTGCCGCTGCTGCCGCTGAGGGAGGCCCGACGGCAGCGCGGCTGCCAGCAGGGCCAGCTGCCGCTTGAGCTGCCTGCCGTCCACCCGCTGGTCCAGCTGCTGAGCCAGCTGCTTGCGCAGCGGCGTGCCGGGCTGCTGCTGCAGCAGCGCCTGCAGCAGCGCCATCGGGCGCAGGGCAGGCTGCTGCTGCTGCGGCGGCGGTGGCGGCGGCAGCTCCGGCGCCAGGCCAGGCTGGCTTCTTGGTGGCTCTGCCGCGAGCTTGAGCGGCGCCAGGCCATGCGGGCCCGCCTTGGCCGTGCCACAATCCTGCTGCTGCTGGCGGCGGCCGGTGCCCTGCTGCAGCAGCACATCTGGCTGGGGCGCCACCTGGCGCCTGGCTTTCTTAGTCAGCGTGCCGCCCGCAGCGACCGCGGGGCCCTGCTCCTCTTTGCCACCCGACTCGGGGCCCGACGCAGAGGCGGCAGCGCTGATGTCGCTGGAAGTGCGGCGGCAGCCCTGCGTGGCAGGGAGGGAGCGGGAAGAGGCAGCTCAGAACGCAGCAGGATCAAGGAGAGGAAGGGCTGAGCAGGGCAGGGCTGCTGCCGACCATCGCGTCTGAATGGAAACAAGCCCGGCACAAGGGCAGCTTGTCATTTTGACCGGCGCACCTGGAGCGGCAGCGCGGCCAGCACCGCGGCGCCTTCCTCCGTGCCCAGCCCATCGCTGTGGTGCGGGGCCTGGTGGTGGGGGTGCGGCGGGCCCTCGCCCGGCTGCTGCCGTAGCAGCAGCGCCATCAGGGCGGGGTCGCCAGCCTGCCGCTCCGCCTGCGCCTGCATCGTGAGCTCCAGGCGCAGCATGCGGCGCAGCAGCATGGCGGTGGTGCGCCGCAGGGCCGACACCTCCGCCAGGCTCTGGGTGGGAGGCTGCCGCCCCTGCTGCTGCTGCTGCGGCTGCTGCTGATGCGGCTGCTGAAGTTGGTGCGGCTGCTGCTGCTCCGGCGGGTTTGCTTGTGCTCCCAGCCCGCCGGCGGCGTGGTCCAAACGCTGCGGCACCGACAGGGAGCGCTTCATCAGTTCGCCCGGGTGCGGCGGCAGCACAGCCGCGTCAGGCGGCGGCTCGCTGCTCTGGTGCGCGAGCGGCGGCTGCTGGCTGCAGAGCAGCCCCGGGGCAGAGAGCTCCAGGTTGGTGTGGTGGTTGAGCTGTGCCTTGCTGTCGCTGAACGGCGAGGGCAGCAGGTGGTGCAGCAGCTGCTGCTGCAGCTTCCGCCGCTGCTGCTGGCTGTTGTGCGCACGGCACATGGGATGGTTGTGCTGCTTGCTGGATGGCGGTCCAGCGGCCTTGGCAGTGGCACGTGGGCGCAGGTGACTGAGGTGCTCAGGCTGCTGCCCCAGCACGGGCGCTAGGAGGAACTGCTGGCTCGAGTGCTGTCCCGAGGAGTGGCCTGGCGAGTGGTCGCGGCCACAGACAGCCACCGGGCTGCTGCTGCTGCTGCTGCTGCTGTGGGCGCAGCGGGCGAGGGGTGGCGGGGCACTCTGATGGTTAGAGTAAATCATCAAGGTCTGCAGGCAGGGGAGGGGCGTGGGGGCGCATGAGCCCCCGGGAGTTGGAGAGCGACGGCGTGTGGTGGCGGTGAGCGTGGGCGGTGGGGTGGCGAGCGGCGAGCCTGTTGTCGGCAGCACACGACCCGGATCCCCGCGCCGTACACATCCACAGATGGCAGGGCTCCTCGCCGCCTTCTGTCAGCGAGGCAAGCCCCAAGTGGAGGCTGTTCAAAGTGGTGTCCGCTGGTAGGCATGGCTGTCCGGAGCCCCCAAGACACGCGTCAGGCGCTTGCAAGCGCCTAGCTCTGATCGCGAGCGCTCCCCAGCGATGAATCGCAACGCTAGGTGGCACAGGCTATGCGGCCGGCGCTGCCCAGCCGGCAGCAGCAGCAGGCTCGGCGGCAGCCCAGGCAGAGCAGCAGTCGCACCCTGCGGGGCAGAATTTGCCTCTGGTAGCTATCTGGGTGTCGTGTGAGGCTTCGTTCTCAAGCACACAGAGCTGGGCTTCGGAACAGGGGCGGGGCTGCGCTACGGCAGGTAAGCCGGCTCGGACCATGCCATGATTGGAATATGTGGAGGTGCAGAAGGGGAAGAAGCGAAACGAGGGATGAAAAAAGCATCTGGCGAGTGCTGCCGATCCGACCTGTGCACCGGTGGGCCCTCCAGCCTGGCACTGCTCGGCCTCCATGTCAGCTCCAGCTCTAAACCGCTGTGCCTGGCGCTTGCCGGACCTCTCCGTTCCCATCGAGATGCGTTCCACAGCCATTTGGGCGCAAACCGGAGGCGCGCAAGCAGCAATCAAGTTAGGGGGTACAGAGAGGGCGCTGCCGCCTCTGACCCTCCGGCGGGCACCCTGCCTGACCCTGTGTCCCCCGCTGCGTTAACGTTTATGTAACTTACAGGTTGATTTAAGTGTGAATACAGGTGTTAGTTTGGCATGATGCAAAGAATGCAACGTGTGTTCGCGACATGTACAGGCGTGTTTGCGCCGGCGGCAGCCGCTGCGGCCACAGGTGCAGGAAGCACATTTATCGATGGCATAAGGGATGCAAAAGCTGTAGGATGCATCAGATGATTTAGCACAGTTGAAGGGAAGTGGAGGGGAGCGCAAGCCAGGCGCGACAGCGGGCACTGTGGCGGGGAGCGGGGTGGGCACTGGAGCGGCAGTGGGAAACATTGGTAAGGCAGACGGGAAGGGGATGCGGCAAGAGGATTAGTGAAGACATGTAAAGGGCCACCACCCGTCCAGGCAGCCGGCCGTCAAGCATTTTGTAAGGAAGCCATAAGGAATGCGGAGTGAACGGAATTGGCAAAGAGCATTCATTAACGGCCGGCAGGTGGTCGCAAGCTTTGAGGGAAGGTAGACGCGAAGATGCAGCATTCAAAGAAAAGAATGGCGAGAGGCGAGTACTTGAAGAGTAAACAAGGGGCGTATGCAGGGGGCGTATGAAAGGGACCCTCATGACGAGTAGCAAAGGGGTAGGGGTAGAGAACAACGGGAGTAGAGGGGTAGACAGTGTAAAACAGGTACCAAGCCATTGAAAGGAGAGTAGGGAGTGGGTAGGCAGTCCTGGAAGAAGGATTGAACGAGTGCGGAGCTTGCTGGCGGCGCGACTGGTACAGGGCAAGGGGCACGGCTGCATCGGCATGGGGGGACAGACGTCCAGAGTCGGACGGGGGCAGCCGGTAAAGGGGTGCCATGACGGCCTGCGAGCGACGCGCTCCAGATGCAGCTAAGCGGCGCAACAGGTGCAGGACAGAGGCAGCGCTTACCGGCCAGGGGCTTGGGCTCTACCGTGATGCTGCTGCTGCCAGTTGGGAGCGGTGGCCGGCGGGCGGTGGCGGCCGAGGCTAGTGACCGGTTGGCACCGGATCGGCAGGCGGCCACGGCTCGCCCCCTATCCCTGCACATTTGGAGCGGCAAGAAATGTCTATTAAACGGCCGACAGCGGGTTTGGGAGCTCGTGTCCTTGCGGACCGGGCACTCCGGCAAGGAGACTGAACGGCAGCCCTGCAACGCTGACCCCGCCGGCATGCTCACCCTTGAGAGGCCGCTGGAAGGGGCGTCGACGTGTGAGGGGAAGGGGAGAGGGGCCGGCCCCCCCGCGGGGGCAGACGCAGGCCCACTCCCTGTGTGTGGGGGTCTGGCTCCACAAAAGAATGAATGAAATGGGTCGAAAGAGATGTTGGGGTGGAGGGTGGAGAGCCGGATGATGTCGAACCGGCGCCTGACCGGCGTGAATGGAAAGGATCCGGAGGTGAGGTCCTCCGGCCGAAGTGATCGAGAGCGCAGAGCGTTGATGGTTCCAATCCAGTGAAAGATCAAGATGGGGCGAGGTGCGGGGAAGGGGAATTGGCCTGGACAGGCGCTGGGCCCGCTCCTCCACGCAGCGGCGCTGGCAACCGCCTTGGAGCCGGCCGGGGGCAGATGTGCCCAGGCGGTTGCTGTCAGCGGGTGGAGACTGGAAGATGGCCGCTGGGGGGTGTTGCCGGCGGGTGCAGAGCGGAAGATGTGTCCAGGGGGGTGCTG